GGGACTATGGGGATCATATTAGTCTGATCTTCTATATAACACAGGCCAAAAGACTTCACTGAATTATTTTGTGCTTCAAGTATAGCATTGGTGATTGAACTAAAGCACACATTTTCAAAGAGAGTGCAGGCTTGCTTTTAAAAAATTCCAGTGATGGATAATTCACCACAACCCTTGGTAAACTGTCCCAGTGGTTAAATACTATCAGTTTCTAAATATTTGTGCCTTACTTCTATTCTGAATTTGTCTCACTTCACTTTGCAACCATTGGATCCTTTTATACCTATGACCTTTGCTACATGGAAATGTCCACTTAACAAATTTCTGCTCCCTCCAAATAAACACTAACAAACTATAATCAAATTATCCCCTGGACCTTCTCTTTGATAAACTAAATGGATTGAGTTCTTGGAATCTTTAAGTGAAAATCAGGTTGTATCTACTTGAATTTAGGCTCCCCGGTAGCTATATTGTTATTTAATTAGCAAGTAACACACAGCATCTTTAAAATTTCCTCTTCTTTGGGACATTGATGTCCATATCACAGTAAAAATAATTTGTAGTGATGTACCTTTCTTTTAAGCATAATGTGTGTTCCTTGTAAGAGTTATTGTTTACCTATTCATTACCTTACTTTTATGTGCTTAGATTTCATGAAGGATAGGATGTGTATGAACAGTGATGTCACTTAGCAACCTTAAGGTTCTTTGAAAAACCCCCAACATTTTCTCCATTAGGAAATGTGTTGCAATTCTGTGTCTCAATAATATGAGAATGGCAGTATGAAAGTACTTAAGAGAGAGGAAGACTTAGGCTGTTTTTGGTTAATTAAAAAGCTGTTACATACGTTTAAAAACTGGCCATTCTACAAAGGCCATAATCTCTTCCATGGCATTTATTATACACCTGTGACAATGCTATAGCAGATTTACAGTAGGCATAATACTGAAATGGCTTTAGTCACAATAGCCTTTATAGTCTATGATGCTCTTATTTAAAAAGCACTTCATTTAACACGCATTTATCTATCTGAACCAACAGCCATGGTTTAGGGATGTTTTAGAATATAGGCAGATTTTTAAGCATGCTACAATACAGAGGATGAAGTGCAAGCCTCACAGGCAGCCTCTTTTAGAATGATTGTCATAAGTGAGAAGCACTTTAGGTCAAATTGTTAAAATCTATCACAATTTGTGTGCAAAGGCACTTTACCCAAATGTAACAGCTAGCTTTTGCTGCAGATGCACTAAAAGATGATAACATGATTTACAAAAAGTCAAATATAATAATAAGGCTGCCATTTTATAAAGCAACTAGCATCCCAAAGTGTTTCCAAAATTGTGAGCAGGATCTTGAAAATCCTTACTTACTCAAAGACAACAACACTACTGGCATAATGGAGGCTTCATGGAAGTAAGAATTTACAAGACTGGCCTTATGTGTATACAGCATTGCACCTATATCCCACTATCTGTGGAACTGAGGGGAGCTGGACAACTGGATTAGTCATTTTTGAGGGTCTTGGCCACCACCATAACAACCACACAAAATAACTTGCACAGTTCTCAGGAGCTTATACTCCCTTTTCTGGCTTTGTAGGACCATTTAGCAGTTTGTTTTGTTCATGGACTCTAATCCAAATTTCACTGAAATTAGTGGGAGTGATGTGAGGGTACAACATCTACTATTGCAACTGGTATTAAAATGCACTTTTGGTAGCAGACTCAACAAAAGGGCTAGTATTTAAGTAAACATTAAAATGGAAGCACTCTTAAACCAGTATGAGAACTCATTCCAAGTCAGGGTTGACTAGGAATTCAGAGGACCAAATTCCCTCTGTACTCCATCATGTGTGGATAAACTGAAGATGTGAGTAGCTTCCTCTCTCGGACTGCTTCTCAGGTTTTTTTAGCTTGAGATTTTCCATGCATCATAATATGGATCAAAATAAATTTTGACCCACAGCCTATGGCCAACACAAGTTGTTCTAGGCATCCTTTTCTAAATGTCAACAGCAATAAATGTATTTTGCATTAAAAAAACCCATGCTCCTGCAGTGTTTCAAATCTAGTTGTTGAAGCAGTAAGAAGCTGAAAAAATATTGATTTTCATTGTCCAGCCTGAGCAAAATAGGGAAAACGTGTAAAGAAATAAGTGGTAAAAATGATGAAACTGTGCACTTATATAAGCATCTGCAAAATGGGGGACTGAGTTGATGTGGGTAAAATGGGTAAACAAATATTATTTTTAAATTTGCAGCATTCCAGTATATTTACTTAAAATTAGAAAGTAATCTTTCCTTCTGAAACAAATATTAAATGATTTTTAAAAAGCACATAAATCCCTGCTTAACACATCTATCTAAAAGTGGTTCAACTGCAACATGAATCTGTGCTTCTCTAGTGTTGACTATCTCATCTTGAATAAACTTGAGAATAACAAGAAGAGGCTCTTGGATTGGCTTTATAATCATTTTTTCTATTCTCTACAGCCCTTCTACTATCTTGGTTTCCTTTTGATTATGTCTTAAGTACAAACCAGACATGTATGCCTAGCATTTTACATCTGTATTTTTCATGTATAGTTTTATGCATTATAGTTTTAAAGTTACAGTATGCTTAAGCTGAATACAAAACCAATGACATTTCTACTTGACACATGTACTGATACATACACATCCAAGTTGTAACGTTGGGCTAGATCATTCGCGCTTGCAATAAATGCATCATGGGGAAGGAAGTACCAGTGAACATGCAGAAGTGTCATGGCTTTACTGGGAAACTGACAGTGGGGAATTCCCACCATACAAAAGAGAGATAATGCAGTTGTAGGCTTCCTGACCTCACCCAGTGCTCAATTTTTTATTCTCTGCCCCAAATTGCCCATTTCCCATCTCTTTTAGTCACACAACAAATCCTGCCCTTTGAGAACATTTTCCTTAGAGTTTAGGAGAAAAAAGTAGGGCTGCTTCCTTGCATGTGAGGAAGATAAGATTTACATGTAAAAGAGAGCTTCCGTGTGTGATCTGGTAGGTATGATCTGGCCAGTGATGTCCCAGATTGTGACCTGAGTCCTGTGAACATTTTCTTCGGATGGTTACTTTGTTCAGCGGAGCAGGGAGATTGACTAAGTCACAGAGAATCTTGTGATCTGCTCTAGCACATGGTTGTTACTGAGAACAGTATCAACAGTGAGCATAAATGTTATTTCCTGCTTTGGCAAGTCCAACAATTTTTATTTGATGTGGAGGACCTACACTGTTGTGGTATTTTTAAGAGCCTGGAGGCTCTCACACATTAGGCAATGTTTTACAGCCTTTTGGTGATCACAGGCCCCAATCCTGCAAGCTCTTATGCAATGTGAGAAACATAAAGAGAGGCAGCCCTGTGTCTAAAGTTGCACAGAAGGCAGGGTAGAGATGCTCCTTATTGGATAATTGAATCAGACATGCATAAGCTTTTGCGGGCAGATCACTTCACCAGGTGCATCAGATGCAAAAGAGCTTGTGGAATTGGGTTCTGTGATCAAGATGAAACTAATATTTTAGTTACAGCAGATGCATCTGACTAAGTGAGCTCTTGCCCACAAAAGCTTACGCATCTCCAATTCAGTTATCCAATAAGGTGCATCTCTACCCTGCCTTCTGCCTGAGTAAAGCAAGTTATCAGCCTAAGTGCTTGGAAGATCAGTAGTATTTGTTCTGCAAATTTTTGGCACTTATCAAGTTAGTATTTCAAGTTTCCATACTATAAAAATAAGTGTTATTGTATTACATGAATCATTACATCTCCACCACTTCTAACTGGTACTACTGTGAATTCTGGATAGCCACAGATGTGTTACCTTGGACTTGAGTAAGGTCTGAGTACCTAAGGACCCATGATATTTGAAGATAAGGTTTGTGAAACGGCAGTGGAATAGCTGTGGGGAAGATTTTCAAAAGGGGTTAGTTTTGGGGTGCACCAGTGTGGAGAAGTCCAGTCAAAACTATTAACAAGCTGGTTTTTGAAAGATTGAAGTCAGACACCTAAATAATACCTTTGAGGAGCTGGGCCTCAGTGCTCTCTGAAAACTGGACCACATCAGGTTCCTTAAATTGGGCATTCAAAATGCCTAATCAGTTTGTGGGGTATATGAGGTTGTAGCCACATTGGTCTAAGGACACAGGCAGATGAGGTTGTTTGGCTCAATCTGATATCTTTTATTAGACCAGCTCAAATAGTTGAGGAAGAGCACACACCAACTGCAGATGCTTCCTCAGCTTGACAAAGGGTATTTAAACCCAAAAGCTTGCTAAGAAGATTTTTTCCAACTATTTGAGCTGGTCTAAAGAAGATATCCGATTGACCCAGAGAACTTTGTCTCCCTAATCAGTTTGCAAAATCCTGGCCATTGTGAGCCTAGACCTTAGGGACTTGCCCTAGCTGGAGTCCCCACCGCTGATCTGTTTGGTTCACAGGTGTCCAAGGGAAAGATCAGGGTGATTCCTCCTTTTCCTCCTGTAGTAGAAGCCGGTGCTTTACAGCAGGATGATCTGAATTCTGTTTACCCTTTCTTTGAGTGGAAATTGTGAGCAACACAGTGACAGCTGTGAGGTTGGTGGGTGGTCGTAGGTCTATTCCAAATTTGGTTTTTGTTTCATCACAGAGACTCTGAGAAGTGCCGTTAAAAACTGTTAGAACAAAAGTACTGACAGGTTCTCTCTTTACATTATTTATAGTGTAGTCAGTTTTGGGGGGTTCCCCCCCCTCCTTTTCTTAAAGGAAAAAGAAAAAAAGGATGTGCAAAATAGAGGAAAGAAACCTCCACCGGCGGTGGCAAGCACCTCGTGGGGCCAAGCCCAAAGTGGGGCTTGTGTGCAGGTGCTTGGCGAATATTTTGCCTTCCTCAAAAGAGACTTTGCAGATTATCTGAGGCGGGGTGCGTGTGTATGTGCATGTGTGGGGCTTTTTTTTTTTTTTTTTTTTTTGCAGATGTAAATTGTGTCTCTGGCCAGCAGGAGGAAGGAAGAGGAAGTGAGAGCAGCAAGCGGCAGCGAGAGTGTGTGCGCTCGAGTCTGAGGATGGGATAGAGTCTCTCCCAACACCAAAACAGCAGCGGCAACTTCCATGGTGGCAGAGGCGTGTGCGGCAGGGAGACAAACTTTTCCCGGGGGAAGGCGGCTCGCCGGGGGGGTGAAGGTGCTTGGGGCCCGGCGTGGAAGGTACTTGGGGACCCGCTGGGGAGGAAGCGGGGGGCGGCGTGCGCCGAAGGGGCGCGGGGGATGCTTGGTGCGGGGGTGGTCCCTGCACCTTGCTCCCAGCCCGCCCGGTTCTTGTAGCTGAGGGGGTGGCTGCAAGCACCCAAGCGGGGGGGGGGGGGGGAAAT